GAGCTCCCACCAGCGAACATAGGTAATAAACGTTGTCGATTCAGTTTTTGACAGAGCAATTGCTCAGTCGTATAAAATACTAATACTTGATTACTTACTAGTATATATATATAAGGGTTACAAAATATTCCACGCTGATTCACTCTCGTTTTTCATAACACTGGTCAGAAAAATATTTCCTCCACTAGGTGAACTTCTTCGTTGTTTACTTGAATGATTTAACTGACCATTTTAAAATATCGATATTTCATACTAGCAAATCTATTTTGTTGATCATATATCGAATTCAATTATTAGTCAATCCCATTATGGTCGTAATCTGACCAGCCGACTCTAACTTTGATAATAATCAAACATACATAGCCTCACTTATTACCTCTGAGAAAATCAGTCTAAAACCTAACAATCAAAGTTGATTATTATTTCATACTTGCATAGTAATAGGAATTGCTTTATAATTGAGTGACTATTGCTTAAATAGTTAGTCTAAATTGTAATAACCTTGGAACAATATTCTACTAAACAAATTTTTGACTGTAAAATGAATCTTCGGGACTAAATATAACTAGAGAGCTTGGTTGTTTGGTTTGTTTAGATTTATTCAACCGGAAGATAGTTATGATTACGGACTGATGTCTGCAGAAGAACCTTTGAAAAAATACGGAGTAACAGTGTGGTTTTAAGTCAGAATTTCTGATTACTCATCAATAAGCACTAACCATTTCATACGCGATTCAACCACAAAATATCAAGTCACGTGGAATTCGGCGGTTCAGTAGTTTCAACTTAAGCCCGTAGATAAATCAGCACCGAACTAAAATAAAGTAACTGACTAAAGCTCCTTGGTTTGTGACGGTTTCACTAACGAGAACTACTTTCAAACTGGTTCACACCTCTAATTCTTCTGACTGGACAATAATCGTTTGTTCGTTAGTGATGAGTTTCGATAGGACTTTTCTTAAGTTTCAAGGGGAAGCCAATAACACATGGAATCAACTCAGTCAACAGTTAGATAGTTGTCATCTATAGGAGTACGATATCTCTGGCTATGTCCTGAATTAACTAAATTTAGAGATTTGGGGCAGTAGATTTAAACTCCGCGGTGTTAGGTTGTCGTAATAGTTGGATGACAAGAAAATCCTAGTTTAAATTTCGTATAGGTTACGTGTAAACTCTGTCAGGGAATTTTAAACAAAGATAGTTTAGTTGTATACAGCCAGCTGTTCTTCATCAGATCTCCAGTCTGTAGCGAAAATTAGCCTTAAGAGAAAAAAAATTTTATATCGAGAAATGAATTTCTAATTGTGCTTAAAGGCTAACTCTTTCATTTTACTATAGTTCCAAAATGAAAACAGGGTGAAGTGTACGATGATGCTTAGTAAATGAACAATCCAATATGTAAGTTCAAATGATAAAAATACAAATCTACTGTCTGAAACCACGAAACTCTATAGCCGTTAAAATTCACTTTAGTTCACAATGAAAGATCACAGTTGTGAGAATACTATCTAATTATAGCGGAGCACACTTTTTAAACATTCATGTGTGCTATTGTAGTTTATGTGAAATAACTATTTGTTTAATTACTAGTTAGATTCTCTTGTTTATTAAGGTTCTAGGATCAATTTATGCAAGTTTTTTTGTTATGCAAAGTAACACCTTTACAAAAACATTAGGCTACAATTAAATATTACTCGAATCATAATATAAATGATTAAAACGGATCAACAAGATTATAAACTACTATTCTAAAACAATCCATAATATTAATTAAAACGGACAAACAATACTAAGGTCAACATTATTTGTCACATTATCGTGTTTTATCGAAATACACACAAATAAAGTTTATAGAATAAAATATATTGAATAAGATTTGAACATTTTTCAACGAACAGATCATAGATACAATAGAATTATCATATGCTTTTATCATATTTTTCTGTGTTCACTTAAATTCTCTAGAACAAATCGTATCATTTCTTTTGTTTAATGAATTGAAACAACAACTACACAAAAATTTGTATAGATTCATTTTATTTAATTAATCCTTATTATTATCTAATTTCTTCCTGTTATACAGATTGGTAACAATTAATACTAGTTACTTACCAAGTTGTATTAATGTATTGAAATATGATTCAAATATCTAATGTTGACTGATCTTTAGTGGGTAGAGCAATTATTTGTGAAATTGATTTTGTTTAGTTTGTAAGTTTATGTTCATTCTTAAAATAGATTAATACTTAAGTGATCAATTCTAATGATCTAACCTTTAGCTATTTGAAAGTCGAATCCGAATAAATAAAATTAATAACTATACAATAACAAAATAACTATAAAGCTATGTAGTCCTATTTTGTGAATATTCAAAGTCGAATTGATCAGTCTGTATTAGCTTATGAGTGTTATTAAAAGATGAACCGAATTTACGTATTAATTATATTTTGAACGGTGACTAATAGTAGGATCCACGTGTGTCACATAGTTGTGATTTTCCCCAGCTAGACGTACCTGAATCCTAATGTTGTTATTCACAATCCAACTCTAATTCAGTACCTAGCCCATTTAAATGCCCAGATTTCACTCACCAGGCTACTAAATCATCATAACTATTAATATATTCAACGGATACTGTTAATTATGGGGGCTTAGGTTTTCCACTTTACACTGATGATTAGTAAACGATTAAGCGGAGTGGCAGTTAACAGAAAAATTAGCAAAAATAAATATACCTCGTGGATTTTGCATTATTGAGATGTTAGGTGGTTGGATGCAGTCAACAGGAAGCCTAGACATAAGTTTCGTTCTATTCGGAACTTATCAGCAAGGCATACCTGTAATCTAGAGGGAGTTGGTGTCCTTAGCGGAATCGATCTCGTGCCAACGAACCTCATAGTTTGTTATCAGTGAGCTATTCGAGTCACAACTAACCTTTTGTAGGGGTGAGATATTTACAACTAATTGATAACTGTGTATTTACCGATCAAGTTGCGACCTTAACGATAAAGTTCGACTACCACTAAAAAGGATTAGACAGACATGATATCGGCGACTACTCATTGAAGAATTAATTGTATATACTTAATATTGTTTTTGATAGACAAATTCAGAGTTGATGCTAACATTTTCAGTGACAATTGTTCCAATTAAGCTTTTTGTTTAACTTGAAAAAGGAACAAAGCAAATAATGACCGTGGAAATATGATTTAAATGAGTTGTTGGACAGATGATGATTCCAATATGGAACAAATTGCCTCGATAACTAATAAATTTGTAGTCAATAATTAAACACGAATGTTTAGAGGCTAAGCGTTCGTGCGACGGGCAGCCTGTGTTCCCCCATCAGGGGTAACAGGTGTAAATATTTGCCGTCCTAAACTCAACAACAATCGATTTACATAGATTCATCCTTCATGAATATTTTCTTCAAGAGACAACATGCAATGATTACATTAAACATATTTATTTACAAAACATATTGTAAAGAATATCATATCTCCCTAGTAACTTTTTATTGCTGGCCAATGCTTGCTCGTAAACTAATAAAGACCAGAATTAAAACGTCTCATCAACGTATACTCATGGTCGCATAGTGAATAAAAGAACTTAGGACTGTCAGATATTACACTAGTCATGATAACTTTCACATACTGAGATGGAATACAATAATGTATTTTTATCAACTAATCAGCTGGTAGTCTACTATTCTTCGATTTCCCTAAAATAGGTTAAGATCATTTCTTTTAATTTGCCTGCCGTGATACAAATGAAACAAAACTTGTACATATTATATGGTAATGTAAAGAAAATGTTCTATATATTTAATTCAAAACCTAATAACCTCGATCGATATGAACTGCACTTTTTTATCTGTGTCGATTTCTAGGCTTAACTTTCTCAAATATATTTTCTAATCACTTTAATAATAAACAATAGAGAAAGTAATAATAATATGAATAATAAACTAATATATTTATCGTTATTCATTTAAGCCTCTTGCATCCTAACTTAGTTTCATAATCAGAGACAATCGGAACAAAACATTTGATTCCCAAGACCTCTATGCAATTGAGAACAGCCATCTGATACTTGGAAAAGTACCCAGTAATCACCGAATTTAAGATCATACAATCCAAAAATTAATTAATGACTCAGTTAAAGCTCAACCATTAGTTTTCATGGAACACCGATGCACTTCCGCTACATATCAGATTTCGTAACAATTCTTCAATCATTCATACTTTGATGTAAATGCCGAATTTGTTCGATGTTATGTTTTACAAAAGATAAGCCTTTTGTAATTTGTGTTCATAGGATCTACAACCAGGCTGAATACGATGGAATTATTACGAGTGTCCTGCTTACCAATGAGGAAATTAAAGGTTATATAAATTTGAGAAAAGCTGTATTCGTCATATAACCAGATGGATTAAAGTTATACATTTAATTGCATTTAAGTTCTAGTTTGTAGTTAGTAGCACAAAACCAGTATGCAGGGTTTCCTGTCGACTACCTCAAACCACCATCTAATCTCAACATAGTGCACGCAGTGTCGAGTCACCTAGACTGGTGGACACATTGCAACATTGTCGATAGCATTCGATCTGCACTAAGAAGGACTTGACACGCATGACATTGATCACCACCCAGTGATCAATCAATTGTGAGTAAACGGGTGTCTATTGACACTTAATTGTCTAAGCACCATTGAAAACCCAGTCATCCGTCAATTAGCCACTGACCATGATAGCAACTAACCTCAATACCTACTGATGTATATATCAAAAGCATAGATTTGCATTAAATCAAAACAGTCTGCTTGATGAAGGTATTCGACTAGGTGCCTGGTTGGCCATGAAGGTAGCAACTTGATACGTTAACATATATCATCAGCTGCTTGTCTAACCACTTCCCCAGTCCTCAATCAACAAGTGACCAAGCAGAGAAAACCAAATCGAATAGATGTCTTACATATTCCTCTATAGCACAACAATAACTCCACTTCTTGATAACAATTTATTAGCGAGTCAGAAGTCGTTGTTGTACATAAAATATAACCAAGAAAAAACACGATGTTTAGAATGCCAACTTTATTCATAGGACAGCATAAGCGAACTATCACGTTAGGACTGAGAGAAAAAGCTTTTGCGAAACAACACAACCAGTACAATTTTAGTGTTGAGCTAGATCACCAATACTCAGCATAACGTGTGCTAAATATGTACAATTTTCAGGTGAGGAAAACGAAAACTTGACTAAGAGTACAGGAATTATTTAATTAATGGCAGGAAAGAATTGATTGTAAATACGACTATAAGTAAATGAATTAGAGTATTAATTCTATTATTTTACAACTTAAACTAATTAGTATTTAAATGATAAATAATTTAAGATTGTCTTTTTCACAACAAATATGAAAAGAAAAGAAGAGATTTAATCGTCTTTAGGTACATTCATAAAAAGATAAGACATAGATTCATCATTATAAATACGTCTGATAGCTTCTGCCAATAATGGACTTATATCAACGGTACGAATTTTGTGACACTGCATTTTTTGTACTTCATGTGGTACTGTGTTAGTTACAACTACTTCATCTATACGACTTTCTTCCAATAGACGTGGTGCATCTAAACTGAGCAGACCATGAGTTGCAATAACAAATATCTACAAATGACAATAAAATAATTTTAGAAAATAAACATTCTCCAGTTGAACTACACAGAGGAGGAAAAACAAGAGAGTGCCTTGTTCATAAATTCCTCAGTCTAATTTGTCAAGAACCTTCGCAATTTCATGAAATAAATGGAGAAGACAGTTATTTCACACAGAGTTTCGACTGATTTTTAGCATCTAGAGAACCAGGATAGCTCAAGAGGATAGGTAGTGGTTAGGCATACGTATTACATACGGATCATCTAGGTCGATGAATGCTAACAATTTTATCAACCGATCTACCAAAAGTGCCAGATCAAAAACACGTATGACCTGTCCATAATGCCAAAAAATTACCAATTTGTTTTCTGATAACTGCTGTGAAATTAATTTGTTACTTGAATATAATGTGCAGGAGTCCGCTTTGTATTGTTTGATGGAGGTAAAGCATGGCACATGAAAGACGACATCTATATAGTGATTTTTTGTCACAGGCATTTTCGGACTTTTGCTCCAGTATAGTGGTTAGAGCGATTACGCAATACTGAGGCTAAACATAGGGTTGTGAATCCTCATTAACTGGGGTAGTTGGAATATGTTTTGCATATGCATAGCTATCGCCTGCCTCGAGGTACAATAGACCATATACGAATAAGCGTAATTCCATGAAATAAGTATTAGTCTGAGCTATATATTTTAAGATTCAACCCACCTAGTTGAAGGTTTTTGCGATAACAGAGATAAATAGTTTGAAATCCTGAGTGACATTGTTTGGAGTCGATAACAGTACAACCGATACATCCACTCTTCCATTAGGTCTAGAATCCAAGTGCTTCCTCATAAGCATCTTTCCACTCTCTTCGAACTATATTTTCAGTGGTAAGTCTTCCTCACTACCGCTGAGAATACAATTATTTCTACACCATTGGTATTAATCTTGTTTATTTCATCTCGTCGTGCTGACGTAGAATGGTAACTTGGCCTTAGGTACATTTGTGTTCGATCCTACGTTGATTCTGACAGAATGATTGATCTAACCAATAAACACCAAAAGTCGAAATTTAAATGCCTGATAAACCGTCGTTTTGTTAAGAGTAATCTAGAACTGGTCTGCTCAAGAAAAGTAACAGTTACGTTGTATATAAGTATGCTTGTTAGACTTATTGTGTGGTGAAACATTTTTTACTGTACAATGTCACACATAAAAGGGGGATAAGTTGACTCCATGTAGTTATGTAGTTAGCAATACTCCATTACTATATTAGAAATATGACGAACACTTATATGAAAAAATTTTGGTGGTGTTTTGTTCTCTGAGCTCAGAGAACAAAACACCACCAAAATCATCCACCTGAGCTACAAATCTTCTCCACCATGAAAAAATTTAGTCGACATCTTGAAAAGACTCGATTAACGGGATCCTGGTGAATTTCTTTAATGTACGTGTACTACTTTATCTATAATTTAGCTTTCTAGGCTTTGATCAGTGAAACGCTTAGGTTGGTACGATTAATGTTGAGTTGAGGTCAAGGTAATATTAACTCCTATTGGCCCATCAATACACACTCGTCCTGAGTCTAATAAAAAAACAGACAAGCTTTTATTTATGTTTCAAGCACCCAATATATTTATCCCAAACACTAATTAGTTCACGTACATGATTATCAGACCGGAAAGCACCTCAATTAAGAAGTCATTGTTTACATATAAACATCTCATAAGTGTCAGAGGATGGAATAAACGTCTGATAAGTCAAGGAATAACAAAACGTGTAACGACAGTTGATACATTCGAAGAAATCCCATAAAAAGGTAATATAAACATAGTAGTTCAGTAATTTAATAAACCCACAGTGAAAATATGGATAACAGCAATCTGAATAATCCCAGACATCCTAACTTATCTAAAACTCGTTTCGTCAAAATACAAGCTAACAAATATATCTTGTGATAGTTATTAAAGTTCGCTAACGTTTAAATTTTCCTTTGTGAATGAAATTAAGAACACTTAAAAGACTAAAAATTGTAATCCCTACTTGAAAATTAAAACATATTATGCCTAGCAATTCTATAAAATTAGCTTATAAAATTACTTTTAGTGAGAATAATAATAGCCGCCATAACTGTAAGGCTTTAGCCTTTAATATACATTGGTAAACTGTAATAAAAACTTACTTTATATGCACCTCGTTCATGCAGTAGCTCAGCAGCAGTAACAAACTTTGATACATCATCTATAATGTCGTCAATTATAATAGCGATTCTTGAATTCACATCTCCAACCAAGGTTAAAGGTGGTTTAGCTTTAGGTATCATCATAGGTAAAAGTTCAAGGCCAATTTGTGTACATCTACAGATGATAAAAACCAAATTTATTCAGTGTTAAATGCGAAATGTATCCTTTATTTTGTGTATTCAGATTATCGTGTGATTTCACTTTTATCACTCTACAGTCACTTCGTTTTGTGAAATAGATCTTGCAGGACCTTAATATGATAATCAGTCTTGTGTTATAAGTAATACGGCTGAAAAGGATTTCAGTTTGGGATTGGATAATTGGAAAAAAAGCCTGAAGCTTAGATGTATATTTTGGCAACTCAAAATCTACTTCATACTTATTTACAGCTGGGGTTATTATTTTGGGATACATTCAACCAACGGATTTAATCTAAATGGTCCGTTTCATCACGTATTACAAGTGTAAGACAGGATACAGAAAATAAATGAGCTACATATTCAACACATAATAGGCATCAAAATAATACATCAGAACTTCGGGTTGACCAGTGCCAAACCAATTGTGCATTCACTTTGATATCTTGTGGATTAACAGTCCCATTAGAGATGATAGAACTTCCAAAAGTCAATCTTTAGCAGAGTTGACCACTCGATTGCTTTCCTTTAAACCCGTGGGTCAACCAGAGTAAGTTCCTGAGTGAAACTTCTTACTAAACATGCATAAAACTCATGTTTGCAGTTACCCTATCAGTAAATTTTATGATATAGAAATTGAAATCAAGGTATCTTTTCAGCCATTTAGAACTGTCTACACCTGTTTAATTTGAAAATGCTATCCAAAAAAAGACCAGAAACCAACTAAAACCAGTCTACAAGGAGTAGAGATAGTTCACGTTACAAAAGAACTCGGACCGCAGCTGAGTTCGGACCACGGACTTATATAGTGCACAAGCCTGTCGCATTGTCTGTGGATCTCTCATTAGTTACATTTGATAACTATTATGATGAACTGGTTAGTAATAACACATTTTCTGCCCTAGTGAAACCATATTTTGTGACTATCCTAAGGTGTTCACATAGGTTTCTTAAAAAAGGAAACCAATTCTATGCCAGTAATGAAAATACGTAAATGCTCCGAAATTATTTGAATTCACTTAACTGTAAATATGAGGTTCATTTGCCTTTATGTATTCATTGCATAACACCATAGTTTTATTTCAATCTCCACTTTACAAAAAGACAAAGGAACATGTATCGTATAAATAATAAGTAATCAGTAGATTTTCTGAATATTTCGGCATAATTACAAATATTGCAATGAAGAAGCAAACGCTTGCATAACAAACCTTTTTTCCACAATACTTTGATCCAAAGGTGGGGAATTGCGACCGTCAGTATTGTCACTTTCATCTCTTTCTTCGCCATGAATAACAACTAATGGTAACCTCAAACGTTCAGCATAACTGCTAGCTCGAGGTACTACTCCGGGATTTCGAGCAACAATAACTGCGTTTCGATAATCAGTTATGTATGTTTCAATGTACTTTGTCAAAAACGGAGAAGCACGTAAATTGTCAATCGGAACATCGAAAAACCCCTGAGGATAGTAAACAAATAGATAACATTGTGGGTAATTAGTGACAGGCAGTAGTAAAAATAGCTACGAATTGACTCAAAATAAGGACTATGTGGCATCATTCAAATTCACAGATATATTGAGTGTAAGTCTTTAATAAACTATAAAGCAATAGGAGCGCTGATCTCATCCACTTATTAAAAACACTTGCACTCTTATTTATAACATTTACAAAAAAATGAAAACCAATTGTTAATAAATTGTAAGTTCAACTATATAATCTAAAACTAGAAGTATCATGAAAAGTTCCAACCGAACTTCAATCTTTCTGATAGTTAAATGGAGCCTGTATGTTGTCCAGGAATTCTTAGTATTACGAGGAACAGGATTACACCTCATGATGGGTTAGCCTGTTCTCTATACGTTAAGAAGGGATCACCTGTGGTGTCAAACCTTTTATATGGATACTTCTTACACTGTATATTGAGATTTAAAAGGTAATTATGGTGTTTGTCGGACACTAAAAATAAGCTTTAACGTCGGTATGGATACAAGTTTGCTTGTTAGATATGCCTAAATCAGTTGAATATTTCGAAGTAATCCATTAATCCTTTATTGCGTGGACACTCCTGGAGTACCTGACAGCTAGGCCACTTATTTGAAAAATAGTTAGATTGCAGGTAAATTCCAAAATCAACATATCCCAATGACTCAGTAACCATAATCGATTGTGTTCGGAGGAAAACTCACCTATTAAGATGGTGGGGATTTGTAGCTCAAGTGGGTGATTTTGATGGAAGCTTGTGCTGATGATGTCATTCAGAAGAACGACGGAAGCTCCACGACCGGACCATTCAGCTTAGAGCACGAAATTCCATCAAAACCTACCTATTAATAAAACACCTAGTAAACCATTCTAATAAATGATAACACCAACACTGACATACTCTTGAAACCTGAAACACTATTTCAAAACTGTAAAACCCAATGATCAGTCAAGCTTTTACCTGAATCTCTTTTGAATGAAGGTCCAAAGTGATCAAATGGTTGATTCCTGAAGCGCAGAGCATTTTAGCTACAAGTTTACTGGTGATAGGGCCACGCTTTCTTCTTTTGCTCTGTGTTGAGTAAGGTAAGTACGGTACTACTGCAATGACTTTACGAGCGCAAGCTGATCTGCATGCATGAGCAATAATCAATAGCTCCATAATGTCATTGTTGACATCCTTAGTTCCTGATTGTATAATATAGACATCTCGGCCTAAGTACTAGGGAGAACAAAAAAAGAACATTACCCCTGACAGTTTCTTTAATCTCAACATCCGTCTCGCGACTTGATCGGAAAAATACTGAACAGTTCCCAGGACGAACGTCAAGATGGTGACAAACAGCCTTAACTAACTCAGGGTGAGAGTTACCAGCCAGTATAACCATCCCTTTAGATCTTAATAACCCCATACCAACTACGTTGCCACTTATGTGTACAGAACGACTCACAGGACGCATACTTCTACAGTACATTTCCGAGTAACACCAAACCCATAAAACTGATATCGAGTAATCTTAAGCAACGCTTCAATGGATCGTTGGTAGCAAATTGAAGGTCGAACCTTAGTGCTGTTAGGAAGGTCGGAGACATCTTCAATATCCAATACCCGTGTGACAAACTAGCATGAGCACCTAAATTCTTTACATTACTACCTCCGTTATTCAAGGTTTGGGCAATATTCAACTATATTGAAGCAACTTTACACCTATAGTTCAGCTGAGATGAATAATTATTATACGTATTTTAAAGATATGGCATCTCAGTAACAATTATTCATGTGAAAAATTGTGAAGGTTCGAACAAGTTTCCAAACTGAGTAGTTTCGTGACTTATCGACAGTGATGTTTACAACATTGGTTTCACCGTGCACAGGCCTAGTTGAAGGCACAAGATCAAGCATTTGTACCAATTCACGATGACATGGTAGGTAAGCAGAGCTGTGTCTTGAGTACAAGTTACATGTATTGTAAAGTGGGTTGAGACTCATAATTTTTCATCCGTGAGCAGTTCTTTCGCCCATTCATGACAACGTTTAATGGTTCCACTTGCTACATAGTGGAGATGCCACAGGTATTTGGGTTTTGACAACCCTTTAACCAGTAACACAGCATGAGTCGTACCCACCAAGTGAAATCAAAAGACAGGAATGAGGAAGCTCGAGATATATTTGATAGACTATCAATTTATCGAGAATCGTCTGATCTAGTCTGGCTAGCGATTGCAGGGGTTGTTGAGCACGGCGTTCCCACTCGTGATCTGGTGCGGATGCATGATCGAGCGCCTTCAGCTAGGTGAGTCAATTAAAATTAATGTGGCCAGCATCCAATTTCGAAAACTTACAGAGCTATTTATTTTCGGTATTTGTTTACCACTACAGATCACTCTCCCTCCTAGTGGTGTAGTGAAGACCTTAAGACGTGGACAGCTAAAAGCTTAAACCCAACGAGATTGTCGTTGGTAAACACTCTTATGATAGCTTGCTGGGTTTAGCAGCGTCTGGTCATCTGTCCTTACTATAAGGGACCATGAAGAACAATATAGTAAAAAACGAAAAAATACAATGCAAATTTTGGTTCCTCTTAAACTTCATCGTTCCTTTTATCGTCTTTTCCAGCCGTCCTGGAAAAGAAAAAAATATGTAGGTGCATGTCGAAATACACTCGTACGTGCGTAAAAACGCAAAGCAGGCGAAAGAAAGGAAAATGAACTCATGCGCACGTAATAGCGCTAAAAAAGTGTTTTTTAATATGGGTTTTTGGTTTGCTTTTTTTTTAATAGAAATAAAAATATATAAGCATATTAAAATTGGTTTTTTTATATTACGTATAGTACAAAGAAAATTCGAGATTATATAAAATGTCAACTAGTATCTTACGTGCAATAATCGTCCAAATGTTCAAGAAATCTTACTCCTCTTCCAGAAAGCCTTGTTTTAAGTTTATTTTGTGATACTGACGAAGCATCATCGTGTGTGTTGGCTGTAGGTTGAGGTATTATAAGTGTAGGAGCCGTGTCGTTCAATTGTACAGAAGGAAAATCGACGTGAATATGATTTCCTTCTAAATACGAAAAGATAGTTGTACCTTTTAAGGTAGCTGTCAAATCGTGAATGTGAGGCAACGGGTAGCGATCGGGAATAGTTTTTGCATTCAGTCGCCGATATTCACCAGTTGGACGCCAATCGTTGTTGTCCTTCAAGGGAACATGTGAAACAGAGATGCCCATGGGCTGTTTGACGGTCGTACGATTCCTACGTCTATCGTGTGAACGAATTCTTTTTCGGCTAACCTAAGCTTTTGGGAGGCCAGTCGGCGTGCTTTAGAGAACACAGGTGGTCCTGTAGTCGTCATGTGATATGTAACGCTTTTGGTTACACACGGCAATTTAGCTTGCGTTTGGTATATCCCAGAATACTTATCGAGTGGTGGTTGATAGAATGAGTCTATCGTGTGCCTAATTGTGACTGGAGATAATCTGCAACCGGAAAAAGAAGTTACACAAACAAATAAATTAGTGTTCCCATCTACTAGCCTCCGTTCGTGCGTATCGATGATTAGACTGAAGTGTTGTGTGAGGTCTATACCAATGATTGGCATAGAAACATCTGTAACAACAAGTATCCATATGTAGCGATAGGCTTTCCGTTTGCGCCTGTATGTTTAAAACGAATTCATGAAGCCGGCTCTTAGAATTCGTTGGAAGAACGCTGACGTCTGCGCCAGTATCGATGAGGTAGCGAGCTCTCATTGTCACGTCTGTGACGCATGACAGACAGCTATGTTCGCCGGCTACGGTTGCCGGCCTAGAAGTTTTCCGAATTGTTCTTCGTGTCGCACGATTTTGAGCTGGGAAAATCGCGGGGTTTTCTGCGGTTTCTGGGGGACTTTCCATACTGTTTATGATACCAGTACCAGGCAAGGTTATCCGTCTCCCGTGGTCTAGAGACAGATTGCCTCCTTGAAGTGCCTCTTCGCGGGGTGTGTGACCATTTGCGGTCGTTACGAAATTTAAGATAACGCGTAGGTGTATGACATAACTCTGTTATGTCATTCTGGGTCGTTTGAGGCTTTTCTTTGACTGAAAAACCTCGGCATTAGAAGATTTCGTGATTACTAAAATGCGGTTGACAGATGCAGCCAGCTCGTCTAAGGCGTTGTTGTGAAACGAGGCGATCGTCTATGAGTATGATTAATTGCACAGCTAATACTTAGTGATTAATTGAGATCATTTATTAGAGCTTATCTTCTTATGTATGTTAGGAGCATATGACTATGCAGAGGTAAATAAATCCTCGAAATAAACTGTTCTGTGTGTCCTCAACATTGATACTGACCTCATTAGTTTCACTGGATACATCCTAGCTGTAGGCTTTCAGTCACCCATCCACACAAGATCACGAGTGGGTACACAAAATCAAGCTGCGGCCAACTGTAAGGCACTTTTCTTACACAAGATATCCAACAGAGATGCCACGGACATTTAGGATTCGACAACGCTTCAGTCTGTAACATCCTCGTAATCGAAAGAACCTCATTTTAGTCATGCTAGAAGTTAGGAATGAAGGAGTTCGAAGGTATATTTGCAAGGTATTCAATATGTTGAGAAGCGTTTGATCTAATCTGGCTAGCTGTTGTGAGGGTTTAGTATCATAGCATATTCAAGGGTGATCTGGTACGGATGTGTAACCAAGTGCCATCCGGTAGCACCAATGACTTCAGCATCAATATCGATAACTTAAATATTTTTTTTGAATTTATTTATTGCTACACTAGTTTTGTAACTCTTCATATAATTAAGAACACCATCATCGTCTACTTTCTTGTGTCTTTGGTTCATCGTGTTAGGAGATACTCAGTTATCGCTTCTTTAGCAGGAGCAATGCTATTAAACGCTCTTGGAAGTAGTATACGTCTATATTTCTCAATTAAACCTACACGATCCCTTCCTTTGAACTATTCTATTCTTACCAGAAAATCCAGTATCCAATATCACTGTCATGAGCTTGTATAAACCAACCGGTTCCTCTGATCTCGCTTCTTGTTATTTCGGTACGGCTACAAGTGTGATGTAGAAGCACGGATTTGCCATACCGAATGAGAATGTCGAGAGCACAGAGTATTCATTTTCTCACAGTCATAGGGTAGGTATATACTCTGAACCTAATAAATTTGATGATAACACCATTACTACCGTTATTCACGTTTTTATCGATTAATGTTTGTTTTCATTTTTTCTATAACAAATGTATGTTATCATGCGTCAATATTTATAACAGTAAATCACGTATCATATCACGGTTTGGTTCTACGAACTAGCATGCCTCTTGTAAACATAGGACGGGATAACTGATAAATCATTGAAGTCCTTCCCAAGAGTATCAGGAAAGCTTTCGTGAGTTCCATGTAATTCGAGAAAACGTAACCTTAAATATACAAGACGTTTCTCCTACTGCAACTTTATACCATGGCTCTATCGTTAGTTTAGTTATCTAGGATTGTAATATCGCTCTTACAATAACCTCGACTGTGCTGAAAGCTGACGCTTCGAGGAAAGACAAGAACCGGACGTTCGAAGGTTGAAAGACAGGCAATCAAATCAAGTTTGGATCTTCTGAGGGAATTAGGGTCGGTAAATCTAAAAGTGGGCATGAATGACGACCCATTATTTACTTCAGACAGTGATAACAAATGCCAGGGGTTTGTAGCGTGGCGTCGAGTCGAGATTAACTATGAACACCGCTACAAAGAAACACGTGCCAAGCGAATCAGAAGGCGAGGGTTGGACGTAACCAAATAGATCCATAAAATCCCCGAGAAGCCAAATATCAGAAGACAATTAATGGACCACGTCGAGATATATTTGCTGGCGATCTCGTGGTATCGAAAGGTTACCGAGATCGTGCCAGGATACAAGCTTGGTTACAGAACGCAACCGAATTCGCGCGAAGTCACAATCGAAAGTGGGTGTATATGAATAGAAGCACAAAATAGCTGTCATTAGCACAGTCAAACAAAAGCACATTAAAACAAACACTGGTACAGTTGGTTATAATAATAATTGTTTTTATTAGGGCAGTCATGTTCTCGTGATAAATGTGAGTCACTACAGGTTCATGCCACAGTTTGTTGAACGTCCTCAAAAACGCTGTTTGTTATCACTCACTTACTATCTACGGTGATATTTACTCTATCGTCTAATATTCAGCTTTACGAGACGATTCATAGTGAGTGATCTTAGATTGTGCTGCTGAAGTCACTAGGAGCTTTTTAAATGAATTACTCTATTAAGGCACAGACACGATGGAGATGCATTGGGTACGCAACTACGTTTTTACGAACAACCGGTTCCCGAACCTGTGAATGTAAAGTAAATATTCATCCAAATGAAGGTCATGGACTCCGGCTGTGATTCGTTAGACATTCTTTGGTTCTCAGAGGGTCATCTCGCGAAGGAACTCATTGAACATAAGGTGATATCACTCCTTAAGCGCAGCACCACCACCCTTCTGAACAAATTTCGCGATAATAAAAGCAGCTTACGGATTTGCTCATAGTTATGATAGCTATGCAGTGAAACCATTACTTGG